GAGACTTATCTTTTGCCACTTTCTTATTATGTTTTCTGTGTTTTTTCTACCTGCCTTGTTAGAGTTATAATTTCCTATATTACATACTTGTTAAACTATGTTCTTTGTGTTTTCAATTTTAACATCATTAATTATTTACCTGAAAATGATCATACTATCTAACACAATCTACAGATTCATCGCAATTTCTATCAAAATGCCAACGTCACTTTTCCCAGAATTAGAAAAAACTATCCTAAAATTCATATGGAACAGAAAAAGGGCCTGAATAGCCAAAGTAATTATAAGCAAAAAGAAACTGGAGGCATTACATTACCTGACTTCAAATTATACCACAAGCCTATAGTAACCAAAAGAGCATGGTTCTGGTATAAAAATAGATACATGGATCAATGGAACAGAATAGAGATCCCAGGAAGAAAGCTACATGCTTACGTCCAACTGATCTTTGACAAAGTTAATAGAAACATACAATGTGGAAAGGACACCCTATTCAATAAATGGTCCTGGAGCCCTAACTCTCACCATATAACAAAACAAACTCAAGATGAATTTAAAATTTAAATGTAAGAGCTGAAACTATAAAAAATACTAGAAGAAAACCTAGGAAAAACTTTCCTGGACACTGGCCTAAGCAAACAATTCATAACTAAAACTTAAAATGCAAATGTATCATTAACAAAAGTAGATAAATGGAACTTAATTAGACTAAAACACTTCTGCACAGCAAAATAATCAACAGACTGAACAGACAACCAAAGGAATGGGAGAAATTATTTGCAAATTATGCATCCAACAAAGGGCTATAATATCCAGAATCTAAAAGGAACTCGAACAATTCAACTATAACAACAACAACAACAACAAAAAAAAACCAAATAACCCTATTAAAAAGTGGTTAAAGAACATGAACACTTTTCAAAAGAAAACATACAAATGGCCCACAAGTATATAAAAACGTTCAAAATAATCACAAGAGAAGTAGAAATCACAACGAAATATCATCTTACATCAGTTAGAATGGCTGCTAGTAAAAAGCCAAACAATAACAGATGGCAAGGACGTAGAGACAAGGGAACACTTATACACTGTTGGTGGGAATGTAAATTAGTACAACCTCTATGGAAAACAGTATGGAGATTTCTCAAATAGCTAAAAATAAAACTGCCATTTGATACAACAATCCCACTACTGAGTATATTCACGTAATGGTAAGAAATATCATTATATCAAAAACATACTGCATATGTAATGCATGTTTATAACAGCAATATTCACAACAGGAAAAATATGAAATCAACCTACGTGTTCAACAACAAATGACTGGAAAAAGAAAATGTGGCATACACACACAAACACACACCATGGGATACTACATAGCCATAGAAAATAATAAAATCCTGTTTTTTGTAGTAACATGGATGAAACTGAAGGCCATTATCTTGAGCAAAACATCTCAGAAAGTCTATTACCACCTGTTCTTACTTATAAATAGGAGCTAAATAATGTGTACACATGGACATATTGTGGAATAATAGACATTGGAGAATTGGAAAGGTGGGAGGAGGGTAAAGGATAAGAAATTACTTAATGGGTAAAATGTACACTATTCAGCTAATGGTTACACTAAAAGTCCAGACGTCACCACTACACAATATATCCATGTAACAAAACTGCACTTGTATTCCCTAAATTTACACAAATAAAAAACACAGCCCAAACAAGTCAAGTAGAACCAAATATCCAGTTTTCAGCATTCCTTAAATATAATTAATACCTATGTTAAGGGAGCTAGGATGCAAAGATTGATTTAAATAAAAGTCTTTATTTAAATGAGAAGTGAAAGTAAAGCAAAGATGGGCAGTTTAAATGTGTGTTCACTCTTCAAGATATCAGTTAGGTGACTGTGTATTTTATGCTCCACATACATATATGACTTGAGATCCTTCACTACATATGTTTTGTCATCAGTTTCATAATGTTACAAAGTTATCCAAAAATTCCTGGCTGAACTTGACTTTGAGCAATCTACCATCTGATTTGGGGACAGTTACCAAGACAGAAAACCCTTGAATGAATGAGAAGGAATTATCTTTCCGTCTATTTGCCTGTTACTGTCAGGGTATTTCCCATTGCAGAGAGGATTCTGATTTTATTTCCTTCCACAACAGAGGCCTCTTTCATCCTCTTGCTTTATTTCGGGGTGGAAAAACAAATTACTGCCAAAGTCCTCAGATGTGGTGGCAGAGAGAACTACAATGACGGCTTCTGCCTTCTTCCTGTATACTTAAAATATTCAATTCCAATGTGTTGCCCACCATATCCCAAATTGCACTTTCACCTCTTAACCTAGCTAGCTGTGCTTTTGCATATTTTCAGACTCCCAAAGTAAGATCTGCTTCCCCTCAGCATAACTCCAACTTTAAGAGTGGAAGAAAGTAATTGGGAATGTTGTTTCAAATGTACAAACCCTCTAGTTCCATTCCTCTAAATCAACTGGGTCGGAAAGCTTGACTCACGTTGATGTAAACATTAAAAGACTAAATAACAGACCTATAGGAGTAAAAAAAAATACCAAACATCTTTTATGTACTATAGAGAATAAGTGTTCATACAAGTAAAGATTAAGTGTAAATATAGCTGTTAACAGCATCAATGTCTTAATGATATCTATGATGCATAAAAACTTTCAAAAATTTTCTCTATTTTCAATAATAAATTCCTAATATTACACTTTACTCTGATTTCAATTATTTTGTCAAAAGCAAATTTTATCTTAACTCTATCCTCCTATGAGCAGGTCATAAAAATAAACGACATGGATCCTTATTGGTATAATCAGGATCAAAATATTTCATTTTTTAGTATCTTTTTATATGAATATAGCTCATATATTTTATTTTTAGTGTTCATTATTACAAAAAATAACCTTAAGGAATGAGACAAACCCATTCCTACATGTAAAATTTTAATTATGCCTCACAGATGTGTACTTTTAATTAACTAGTGACATTTCTTTTGTTCAATTATTATTATTCCATACAACTGTCATAAACTTATAAATTATAATTAAGCCTGCCCCAAACCCTAGTTATATAGTGTCCACATAGGAATTTGCCAAAAGGCTTAACTGTAAGTAAACCAATGATTAATAAATCCATGAATTGCTCACTGGGATTTGTTTAACAAATTAACATTTGTGTGGAGATAATGAGGTTCTACAGTCTATAATACCAAACAATGTTTTTATAAAACCACATTTTAAAAGTGAAAAATGATGCTTTTTAAGTGACTTAATTACATATCATATAATTATTAATTATTAGATGCTGTAAAATAAACTACATGTCTGTATCTCATATTGAATTCATATGAGAACTCATTTATATTAAAAAATATTTTCCTGAACATATTATTTATGTAAATCAGGATATAATTGTGTGCATAGATAAAGTTGAACAGATTTTGAGCACGCTCCAAAGTTTAGACAAATGACTTGAACAAAACACTACAAGTTGTGCTGTATCTATATACAACTCTGGATGCATCAACAAGACAGCAAATTCAATGTTTTATAGAGATTTATCCCTGAGGATGCGTTGCAGGTTCAATAGATAGCAATAGTGTGGAATTTCAAATTGTTTACTTGGCCTAAATATTTCTAAATATAAATATAGATAAATCATCCAGCTATAACACCATGGTTTTCATTATCTCAATGAAAAAATTAAGTTACCAATTAAATAATAAAATTTCCAAACAATTCATTTTTTATGAGAAATTTTTTTTTCCCTAAAGGAGATATTATGTGTGTTACTAAAATACACTCACGTATTCCTATAGTAACAGAAAATACTTTATGATCTAGCCTCCCTTAGGAGAATAATCTGTGCCTTTTATATTTCAATTTAATCAAACTCCTGAATATTTTTTCAGAATGCTATTAAGTAGTTAGAATAATTCCATTATGAATAAGACAAAATATAGACATAAAATTATCAAACTTTTCCTATTAGAATGAATTTCAGAAACAGCTTGACTTTTCTGATCCACACTGAAAATTCTTCATGTAACTCTTTCAGTTAGCAATACATTGAATACTTCAAAACGTAGCATAAGCAATAGAAGCAGTATGAACTTCCAGCAAGATAGAAATTAACCATGTAGGGGAATGTGAAAATAATATAGACTGATTTTCCATTTGACTAAATTTGCATTTATGGTAGTAAAATTAAATGCTCTTGAATCACAATATAATAGTTGTATAATATCCCTTGCACTGAATATTGGAATTTGCAAATTAGATTTTATTCATTGGGGTTATTTTTTTCTTATGGAATGTATTTTAAATTTAATACAAGTCAGTGGAAGAATATGTTTCTATGTTTGTTTATATGCTGCACAGAACACTTTCTGCAAACATGGCTATTGTATAAATTAATAATAATCTCAAATATATCCTAAGATGTAGAAATCTTGAATTTTCAAAGCATGTTATATGACACAGTGTGATGCCAAAAGAGTAGTTACAATTTTAGATGGGAATCAGGATGCTATCAGATTCTCTGTTACTGTTTATTTACGTTTAACATAATCCTAATTTTCAACAACAATTGATTTTTAGCATTAGGAAAACTATTTGTGCAACAATAACAACAACAACAAAAATCCATAAACTTTGGGGTAAAACATAGTAAGCCTGGAAAATTGGCTCTACTAATCATTCTGAGTCAGGGGCAAATTATCTATAAACACTGAGCCTGTCACATGGTACATGCTCAACCCAGAGTAATGACCATTAGTATTGTTAAATTTTTGGCTTGAACTTTTATATACTGAATTTAGAACAAATGCCATTGATTTAATTTTGTGTTAGTATATTGTGTTAGTCTATTCTTCATTAAGATACTAGGAAGTATGTTTGTAACATTAAGTATTTTTGATTCATATATAAGAAAAAATGCAAAAGATTTGAAATACAATGACACTGAAATATTTACCTAGAACTGATGGCACACAAGTTCCTCCATTCTGGCAGTAGTTGCTACAGTGGTTGACTTCACATCTTTCTCCTGAATAACTAGGCCAACAGTGACACCTCAAATCACCCTTCTCATTTAAAATGCATCTTCCTCCATTTTCACAAGTTAACTTACATGAATCATCTGTTTATGAGAAGAAATGTACAAATTAGCATGTTTTCGGGGAGTAATTTAATATACATATTTCAAATAGATACAATATTTAAATACTAGGATCTTTTGTTTCCATAAAATAATTACCCCAAGTACAAAAGCAGAAAAAATTAAATACTATCTGAAAACAGATAGATTCTAGTTGTTGAATGGTAAATGTACATATTAATGTTGAATGGTAAATATACATATTCTTCTTTAAATTTAAAGCATTATTAACTTTTTCTTATATTTGTAAAATATTGAATAGTAAAACTAACTGAAACTTTCTAAAAGTAATATATTTTCATCTTCTTTCTTTCTTTTATTTTATTGAGACAGGGTCTTGCTCTGTCACCCAGACTGGTGGGCAGTGGCATGATCACAGCTCACTGAAGCCTCAACTTCCTTGGCTCCGGTGATCCTCCCACCTCCACTTTCCAAGTAGCTGGGACTATAATTTTTTTTAATTTTTTGTAGAGACAGGTTCTTACTATGTTGCCTAGGCTTCTAAAAGTAATATATTTTCCAACCAATAAATTTTCCTTATAATATGGACAAACATAGCTTATTTTTAGGAGTAGTTGATATTAAAAAAGAAAACTTTAAATTTGTAAGTTACATTTATAGCATATGCACACACACACACACACACACACACAATTCGTTCTATAGTCTATGCATGTGTGAATATACATAATATAGAGAAATGTTTACATGAAGAGATACTCTTTGATGTTGGTCTCTATTAACCATATATAAATGTCCCAAACTAAAAGTCATTGAGATTTGGTACAAGTTGGTTATAGAACAAAGTTAGAAACATTTCCGTATGTAACATTTGTCCCAAATGATTCTGTACAGTCTACCTACTTAATAACATTTTCACTCAGAATAAAAAAGGCTGGACATTCCTTGGGGTAGCAAAATTCTTTTTAACAATATGGTAAGTATGATTTATGATAAAGATAGGCTTGGAATCATTTTTGAGGTTATTTTGCTATACATATTGACATGACTTTCTCCATTAGAAATGCTGCTTTGCTTTGAGCAACATACAGCATTCAATGGAACAAAACTGATTGAGATAGTTGTAATAGGCATTCTATTCTATAATATGCCCTTTACTATAATAATGCCCGTTTTATAGTTAAAGTAGGTAAAATCAAAGCAATCTATAATCCTTATTCAAGATGCACTGGCACATACATGACAGAAGCTTGAATATATCACTGCAATGATTTCAAGAGCATCTTTAAGCACCTCAGTGGCTTCAAATGACACAATGATTTAAGTATCATGTCCACGGTCATAAATAGAAACTGTCAGTAGTGCCATACAATTCTGGGACTTGTCTCATTGAAGAGAAAAGTTTCTAATACATTGTGACGTAGGCAGGCTTCAGATTGGCATTACTGAAGTTTGTATTAATATGAAGAATTCTCTCATGATGTAAAATAAGTGTATTATAAAAAATTACAGTGGTATAATGAGACCTGTGTTTAGGTCCTGGTTCTGTTGCTTACTAGGCATACAAGTTAACTGATTTGAGCCTCAGTTACTTCACTTTAAAATGTCCTTAATGACAACTATACAAGCTAACTCAGGTTTGTATGAATAGTAAATAAGAAATGGGAAAAACTATAAAATATAAAATTATAACACTTTTTATATGCTATTGACCTAGTGCCCACAAGGTTTACTGAGGATGGAGCTCCAGTGGAGTAACACACAGGAAGACCTACGGGTGAGCTCTGGAGGAAATGAATGAAAGTCACTGTGAGTGGACCTAGATCGGAGAGGGTAAAGAAATGAACCATGATAGGTAAATGTTTTTGAAGAAATAAGCAGTGAGTAAGAGAAGATCCATGGATTTTAGACTCCACCCCAAAAGTAATGTGGTGTCTTGGAAAGGTAATGTACCGGCAGGGGTTAAAATGGCAGCTTAAAAAAGCAGGGAGGCTCTCAGAACTTTGTATACATTATCCAGGATAGGTAAGATGAGGACCCAAAATAGAGTAACATGGGATGAATGAATGTGGGTGTATTCTAACGGTCATTTGGAGGTAAAAATCACAGCAGTGTTATGTGAAGAAAAATGAGGAATGCCTATTACAACTATCTCAATCAGTTTTGTTCCATTGATCACTGTAGGTTGCTCAAAGCAAAGTAGCATTTCTAATGGAGAAGGCCATGTCACTATGTATAGCAAAATAACCTCGAAATTGATTCCAAGCCTATCTTTATGATTCTTCAGTTTCTGACCAGGACAGTTAGGTGGGAACACAAGGATGACAGGAAACGGAGGGGTAGTTTCGAGGTGGCATACTAAACTGAAGATGCCCATGCAAATATAAATGGGAATCTCCAGCAAATTATTGACTACAGAGATCAGACTCTCAAGAAATATGTGGAGTGGAAATATGCTTGTTTAATTTAAAATTTACCAAAACATTTCTATCTCAGTCAACATTATTTGTCCTAATAAAGGTTGTGGATGTGGACAGTGAAGATAAACACTTAAGGCATCATGATCACAGGTAGGATTATTATGGGGTACTCATTTTTACCTGTCAATTCTATGAAAACTACAAGGATATTCAAAATCCCTACATGTTGGGGCACGCACATTACTATAACGTGCCTCATTAGGCACCAGAAATTTTAAAGTACACATTGCCTGATGAAATGGAAGTGGAGTTACATTCTTGCAAAACTCATAATAATGGTTCTACAATGAAAAAAAGAGCTGTTTTTGTCAATAACTAAATCACCCCCAGAAGCCAACCTCCAGCAATTATAATCAACTATAGGAAAAAGCAGGTGAACACTTCCCTAAGAATGAATAATATTTGAATTTCAAATTCAATACACAAAGTGTTGTTAAAAATGTTCAGTGTACTCATCATTTAACAATAGCAGCTAGAGGTAGACAAATAATTATAAACAAATGAAAAGCATATAACATTGGCTATAGCAAATGTTAATGTCAGAAAAATATAACTGGCATTTATCTTCACCAATCAGTAATTCTGAAATCCACTCATTTATGTTCCCACTAAAATGGTCCAAACTGTTTATGTTTCAAGACCTACAATGTGTAAAGGCTAATTTGAGTGTTGTTTTCATTTTGATTAAATGTAAGATTTTCTCTTAAGTTACAAGAATGGGCTTTGAGGTTTCTGAAATCATGCCTTTTAAGCAGGGTTGAAAGAGCAAAACACATCTCCAAAAAAAGTTTTAGATCATGGATAAGTGTGTATTTAGATAAGCAAGATTCCTTCTTTCAAGCATAAAATGATACAATTTAGTGACTTAATGCAGCAAAAAACTTGTTTCATTGTCTTACCTACTTCAAAGTGACATATTGATTTTAAAGGGCTATGTGTCTATTTTTCAAGGTATCGTGCTAGCCATTCTATCCATGTTATTGCTAGAATTTCCAGTAACTCTGGAAATGGGTACTCTGAGTGACACAGAGACACTGGGATATATTGTGTGATGATTAAGAGAGTGGACCACCTACATTCACCCTGGGGTGCCATCATTTACTAAGTAATGTTACACAATCAAATGAGCTTCTAATGCTTCCATTTTATCTGTAAAATAGGAGAAATTAGTACATAATAAAATTTGAAGATTAAATTAATATATATGTCTATAAACATACATAGAATTATGCTTTCCTCATAGGTTTTCAAAATATTTAGTATTATTTCTACTGTCAGTGATAGTAATATTCGTAGTAGTTATTGTTAGTTCTATGTTGTATAGAATAAACTGAGACCAAGGGAAGCAGGTATACAGTCCAAGCACAACAAAGTTATTTAAGTGGTAGACCTTGGCCTACTCTAAAACTTCATCTCATCCCTACACTAGGTCATGTCCTTGCAAGGTATTCACAGAATTTAGTTTGTTGGATACATAATTTGGATCAAAGAAAGAGGAGAAAGGAGGAGGATTGCATAGAAGAGGTTGTGGAAACATGGGATTACACAGAAGAGGATTACATAGAAGAGGAAAGGAAAACCAACAAAAACTGTCTGAACTTGACTCTAAACAATAGTTGTAACATCAGAGCCAATGCCAAAGTCCCTTGGTAGCATTATTAGTTTATTTCTGTGCATTATACTAACCTCTCTCCTAATTGCCTCTCTCACCCAAATTTTCTAAGTAGACACAGTACACAGGAGGCACCTGTGAGGGCAATGGGTAAGGGATTATGTGGGACTACTGAAGGTATGACATTTTTACAGAAAAGTTGTTCACAGTTAAAGGATCTGTTTCTGAGAGGTTAAGTGGAATAGATTCCTTTGCAGAGTCTTCCTCTGTGATGCAGTCAGAACAGCATTTGAGAAAGTGGTACTAACAATGTTTGGAAATGTTCACTGGATGCTCATACTCTCCCATCACAGTTGAGATAACAGCTACTCTAACTGGGAGAATAGATAGAGGGGAAGGGAGCATCCTAGTGCCATGACGGCATCCCTTTTCAATAATTGGCACCAAAGTGTCCGCCCAAAATACCAATCATGATTCACACTTAGCTTTCTGTTACGAACTTTGCAACCTTATTACCCAAAACAGGGCTTCACACTTCTATACACTAACTACAATGAATGACTCATTATTTTCTTTACCCACCATGTTTCCATACTTCTCAGACAGATTTTCTGTCTCAGTGTCCTCCTCCCTCCTTCCCATTTAATCTAAATCCAATCTGCCTTTGCAGACCTTATTTAAACGTCATATCCTATAGGAAATTCTGACTGATCCCCTATTTGAATAATAATCTGAATCCTTGTAATAGTTTTAACTCTGTCTCTTCTGTGACTTGTGTCACTGTCCACATAAATATCTATTTATTGATGCTTATGTTATTCATCAATTCATCTTTTGAACCCCTTCAGCTCTGCATATCATATGCTTAAATAATATACATTAAATGAAAGTACTATAATAGTTTTAGACACTGAGTGCCTTATAAATGTCAGAAGTCTTCAAATTGGATGTAACCTTCAGCAGAGAACAAAGAGAAAAATCATGCAGAGGTGGAGATGCTGACTACGGGTAAGGACCCAGAGTCCATGTGAGGAGTGCATTCTAGCAGAGGGAAATACAATAGGTAAAAAATCCTGCCATGAATAATGTCTGTACCTCATTGGAAAATGTTTGCTGTGATCCTCCAGTGATTTTGGAGCACTGCATTTTTTTTTCCTTTTTGTGGAGAATGGGTACTTACTATGTTGCCCAGGTAGGTCTCAAACCCCTGAGATCAGGCTGTCCTCTGGTCTCTGCCTCCCTAAGTGCTGTGATTACAGGTGCAAGGTACTGCACCTGGCAAGAGCACTGCCTTTGTGTCTGTGACATAAAATTTAGTATGTGTGGCCAGGCGTGGTGATTCATGCCTGTAATCCCAGCACTTCGGGAGGCTTATGCAGGCGAATTACCTGAGGTCAGGAGTTCGAGATCAGGCTGGCCAACATGGCAAAACCTCATCTCTACTAAAAATACACATACAAAATAAAATTATCCAGGCATAGTGATACACACCTTTAGTCCCAGCTACTCGGGAAGCTGAGACAGGAGAATTGCTTGAACCCAGGAGGTGGAGGTTGTAGTGAGCCGAAATCAGGCCACTGCACTCCAGCCTGGGTGACAGCAAGACTCCGTCTCAGTAAGAATGAATGAATAAATAAATACAATAATTTTTTAAAGTATTATGTGTGGATTTTATCTTTTAGTAACAATATTTTTTCCATTATACCTAATGTTTTGAATATGAGGAAACTTATTTATTGTCAGTCTAGCTGGATATTCAAGAGACATATTTTCTTTCCCTGTGCTATCACACTGTTTTGTGTGTTATTTTTTTTTTTTTGGTTATTTAATATTTAGCTTCTGAAGTAATGTTTCAATTTTTATTGATTATTCCAGCTTCTAGCTTCTGAAATACAAACTGCATGGATGAGGAAATCTTATCAGTTTTGTTTCTAAGTTAGTTTTTAGTTTTTGCATTCGTATTATGCCTTCTTCATAAGCCCTCAAAATATTTATTATTATTATTCTTTGTGGTAATAGCAGAAGCAGTAGTAATCGTAGTAGTAGTATTGTAAGTCCCATTTTACACAGAAGAAACTAAAATTTGGTTTCTAAATTCTCAATTTTTAAGTTAGTGCTTGGCACACAAGAGGTAATCAAGAGAAACGTATTGAATAAATAAATGGATTTTTGGGCTGAGTTGAAACCCATAGCAGAATGTTCTCAAAAAATATTATTGTCTTATCTAATAGAAGAGTTATAAAAAAAATTCTTTTGGGTCTGTGAGTGACTTCAAAGTTCTCGATCTGTTGTTAAGTGCCTGTAAGTGTTCAACGCTGCTTTGTGAACAAATGCAGAATGAATTGTTTGAAAGTCTTCTCCAGAGAAAAGAACAGTTTACACAGGCATTCAAGAACTGCTGCTATCAAGGTAGCTAGATTGCTGATGGAACAGATCATTTCACTCCATTTCACTAGTTGTGAAATTTTTATGATAAGCATTAATTCATTATTTACAGAATAATAAAGTATACCTACCTAACAGACTGTCATCATTGCAGGTGCCATTAATCAAATATTTTCCTTCCGGACACACACAAGTGGCCCCAGAAGGATTCAGCAAGCAGAGGAATTCACATGCTAAATCCGAGCATGGATTGGGTACTGGTTAAACAAACGAAAACAACACATTGTGTAAATGTAGATACAACAGGCTTCAAAAGCATAAACTTAAATAAGGGGAAATGTTTCATTAGCAATGTTGAAAAGTAATCACATCAAATTTCCACTGGGAGTATCTGACTCAATATCATCATTCTCCTTTATAGGTGAAGAAAAATTACTACCCAATGCTCATCATTAATAGTAAGTTTGCCTTATTTATATTTTCCAAAGAGAGAAGAAATTACTCAGATCTATACTTTGTTATTTTGCTTCTGACTAATTGCTTTTGGCATAAGAGTTGGTCTTAGAACCTGAAGTACCATTGGGGCTGTGTTGGAAAGTAAAGCCAATGGAAGTTTTGGGGGGATCCAGCCTTCACTTTAACAGCTTATTTCACAGAGCTGTTCTAACAGACAAAAACAATGCCCCCCTTGTATTTATTAATACAAAGGATTAAAATGCATATGTAGCTTGTCAGTTCAAGGTACAGATGAAAAATAAGACTTTGTTTTCAAAAAAAAAGTCTAAAATGGCTTCCTTTCCATCAAGTGGGAGTTTGTGTGCACGTGTAAATGTGTGCCATACTTATTTGTGTTTAAATTTTTATCCAATCGACATCCTTTGCAGTCATAGTTGATTATTGACCTTTCCTAGGGATTATTTCACCAGAATTAAACAGGAATGGCACCCAGGTAGCTGAGTTGGGGACTATGAGAGTGGCTTGTTTTCTGTAAGAACCACCACTCAAATGCCTATTATATTCAAGACAAGATTTTATTTGTTTACTTTTTATGAATGTGGCAATATTCAACTATAAATATAAATTAAACAGAACTGGAGGATGAGAGAAAGTGTCCTCATATTAACCTTGGAATCTTATATGCCAAATTATTGGTAAAGAGCAGCAAGGCTTTGGATAAAATTTCAGGACGATTTAGGAAACTATATTTTGTTTTATTCTGTTGTGAGAACTGATTTGAATAAACACCACTTGTTCCAGATAAATGCACCAAACAAGATAAAATCCATTTCATTTGCTATAAATAGTAATTATAAATAACCTTTGAGCAGCATCTTGAAGAGTGAACTGATATGTAAACACAGATCATTAGAATTTCAGCCATATTATTATTTTTCACTTTATTCTTCAATATTTTTGACAACTGTGTTAGAAACATATTTTCAAGAGTATTACCTTAATTACCTTAATGATTTACCCACTCCTTTCTAGGAGGGAGAGTAACAATAATAAGTCATATACAATAAATCAGAGAAAATATACAAGTCTTGGGAAGAGTTATTTTTGTATATATTTAAGAATGGAAGGTTAATACTATAATAGTTACTTGTTGATTAGTAATAATAGTCAAAATGGCCAACAATAAATTTCCTTACTTGGATAGTTCATCTATACACTCACAAGGTTCTATTAAGAATTTTAGAAACAGATTAACAGATTATTGTAACAAAGACAGTTTTAATTGTAAGAAAACATGGCCAAATGCTGAACATTTTCCTGGTTACAGCAGAAATATAATTACCTATATTTTGACGTTTTGGTAGTTGAAAAAGTCTAGTAACATAAAAAAATAAAGTTACTTAACTTACTGAGGTTAAGACATTTACATATTTTTTGAGAGATATAAGAAAAAAATTTACCAATATAGACAACTTCATAATATATTATACTTACAGTCTAGTTGTTTATAACGATGAGATATCAAAACACTTTTTGTTTTATCAATATTTAAAGCTAAGTACTCTACTGAACCATGGCCAAATTTTTGTACTCGAAATACACCATTTTTAGGTCCTGCTCCATATATATAATCTTCGAAGATATCAATTCTATGTGGATGTAATAAACCTGGAATTTTCAAAAGGCAGTAATGAAAGTTTTAATGTATACACTCAGACTTTAAAAACTATGTTTATCTGAGACAATATTGAAAATCTTATTATCGTTTAAACTTTCAGAATTGGAATATTTATAATATTAGCTATGACGTTCTTAGAATTATATCTTAAGTAAGGATATGCAATGTAGTAAACATGTTACTTAAAACATAAAAATACACTTCCATTATCACTTTAATCATCTTTACCATCACAAAGAATTTTCTGGGGGTTATTTGCAGACTAATCCTCTCTGCTATACAGAGAGTATATCTTATATCCAATGTTATCTGTAGTATAAAAACAGGCAGTTTACACAACTCAGTTTGTGTTCTGGATCAAATAAATGATCAAATTACATGCCCAAATGACTGGTTTATTAAGCAATCATTTGTTGATTTTTAAAGAGTAAATCCAAAAATAATATTTGACATTAGTATTGTTCATTTCAGAAATGGAATAAAGAAAACAAACAGGTAAATGAAAATCATTTGTCTGATTAGTTTGGCTAAAAATAATAGTAACCATTATTTTCACATTTTGTGACTTATTTTCAGAGATTTTATCAAATGAATAATTATTCTAACTTTTGAAACAGAAATTTATAACAAATAAAATGACAACCTTTATATTTTTACTAATTATCTAGAGGTTGTAAAGTATAAAGTGTCTTTATATTCATATATTTTTCTTTGCTGTTTCATGAAATAGTAAAATGTGCACCAAAACCAGAGCAAGTTAACTTCATTGTAATTAACTACAGGTATGTGAACTTTTTTTTTTTTTTTTCATCTGAGGCCATCGATAAACACACACACACACACACACACACACTTTAGGCAAAGGCACAATAAAAATTTGATTTAGTTGTTTAACTTCCCTGTTTGTGTTATTTTAAAACAAACAAACAAACAAATAAAAAACAGGAAACAAAGCTATATGCAATAAATATGTAACATGCAAATACAAAAATTTAAAGTAGATATGATGAAAAATTTGTGGTTACAAAAAAATTGTGGGAAGGGGTGGAAGTAGGGAAAAGAATGTGACAGAAAGGGAAGAAATTAAATTTGGCAGAAAGAACTGAGACAGAAAGAACTAAAGTCAGGCAGAAAAAAGTATGAGTAACAGAAGGGAGCTAGAAAAATGAGACAGTTAAAAAATAGAAGCCAGGAAGATAGGTGGGCATAAAAACAGTATAGCAACAGAGGAGCACAAGTAGATTCAGTAGTCACTGGTGGTAGAGTTAAATGGTCATTTTTGATGCATTGATACAGTAACTCATTGTTCGCTTGTTATCATTGCAATTGAAATAAAATTTGTGTTCACAGATGCTGATCTTGACTACTAGAAGTGCTCTGCTCAGAATGGAATAGCCACGGAAGCCACAGAGTAAAATTATTTTCTGAATCTGGACAGCAATGGCCATCTTTGTCCAAGTCAAGATGGACAAACTTCTGCCCTGACCTCTATGTTTTTCCAGTAGGAATGAAAATTTTAATTACTAGTAAGAGTTATAAGTTGAAAGGAGAAAGAATTTAAGAAAATCCAGAATGCAAAGCATCCATACTTACACTCTCAATAATAATTAAAAATGAAGACAAAAGCATTTCACAAACCTTGTTTGCTGCTAACAGAGACTATTGAGTTAGAGCCATCATACAGAACACTGCCAATGATGGAGAGCTCAAAGTCAGCCCAATATATGCGTTCACTAAAATAATCCACAGCCAAACCTGCAAAATCAACACACACAAGACAAACAGTGCAAATAAATTTGAAATCATTCAAAATCATACTTTTGCTTCTTATTGTATAATTACAGTTGACATTTGTCTTCAAGCATCATAGAAATTACCTGGTGCCAATCACGATACTGTAGAAATTAGAAAAATTAAAGTAACTCAATCTTTATCCCAAATACATGGGTTCAGATTACATGGCATTTAGTTAACAAACTCTAGCAAAAGTCTTATTTCACATAAGAAAGTCTGCTGTAAATACCCCTTCTAGCCATATTTATGGTTTCTTAATTTTAGCTATTCTCTAATAGACTTTCCTTTAATATTATTTCCATTTTCATCTTCATATTATATGGAGAATGAATTCATTATTTAAATCATTTATCGGACCATTATTTAAAATGAGTTAGTATAATTATTTGTATTTTTAATTCCTTCAAGAAGGTATAGTTCTCAGAATACACAAGGTTCGTGTATTTAATTAAAATATATTTTCACTCCTTCAGAGTTGGCCAACGGTGTTATCAATCGGACATCTGTGTGCATGCTGAAGTTAATGTGACTAACGATTGATATTAGCCGGGTGTGGTGGCTCACGCCTGTAATCCCAGCACTTTGGGAGGCTGAGGCGGGAGGATCACGAGGTCAGGAGATTGAGACCGGCTGGTCAACATGGTGAAACCCTGTCGCTACTAAAAATCCAAAAATTAGCTGGGCGTGGTGGCCGGCACCTGCAATCCCAGCTACCCTGGAGGCTGAGGCAGGAGAATCGTTTGAACCTGGGAGGCAGAGGTCAGCAAGCTGAGATCAGCCTGGGCAACAGAGTGAGATTCTATCTCAAAAAAAAAAAAAAAAAAAAAAAAAAAAAAAAAAGAAACAATAAAAGAAAAAAATGATGTTTATGGTAGGGAAGAATAAACAGTAAAGTTCTTGATTAAAGTTCTAGTGATGGTTGAATTAATTTTCTCTGAGACTGCTTGTCTTCAGTTTCATTACAGGTAGATTCAGTGAATGATAATGGACTGAAATAATATAGAGTAAAAATATTTTTTTAGTTTCATTTTTTGATTTCATGAATGTAATTGGAATCCATCCAGTGTCTTTTTGTAGGAACATCATCAACACATAGAATATCTAAGAAAGTAAACTTCTTTAAATATGGAAGAGTAATATGTCTGACTCATGAATTCCATAATAAATATTCACTGCTGTAGATTATTTTTAGTGACATAGCTGCTGTCTAAATATGACATATTGCATACTTTGGAAGTACAATGCAGTTAAATACCTTAGGCAACTAAAGAGTGTTCCCAATGAGAACATTCAAGAAGCAACTGAAGTACATTTTAATGGCAATGCAACTGAATTAAAGGTACTTTTGAGTCTGTGCTAGACTTTTATTCCTGTGTAACTGGACCAAGACTTAATAATCAGAATGGAAATAATTCATATTAGAAATCATTAGTGAATAATTCTTCAGTTAAATACAAATACTTAGCTCACATGTAATCAAATTAAATATTTTGTTCCTCAAGTAATGTATAGAGATGTACCATGCCTGACCAGATCCTGAAAAATAACAATTAAGCAACTGGCCATTGTTTTACTGGTTTCTGCTCAATTATTAATTTTCTATTTGAAGTCATGTTAGAAGGCACGTTTTTGCATTTTCATGTAGAATTATGAGTAATATGAACCACAAATTACACAGTTTTTTGCTGCTGCTCCTATAGTTCAAAACAGCTGACTGAGAAGGGTTAAAAACATAACATAAAAACATGATTGTCTCTCTTCTACCAATGTGCTACAATAAAGAAGTAGCTAAAACAAAAGTCTGTTGCCGATAATTAGTTTTAGATTTAAAAACATTAATATTGATAATCACAGAAGAGAAAACAATGAGTATGTAATCCAGTTTAATCAACAATATTGTTTTTCAGATTCAGAAGCAGTAAAAAGTTCTCAAAAGTGTCACATATTGCATTATTGGTCTAGGTTTGTCTAAGACATACCCACTTTTATCAGCTCTGGCCATATTTTGTACTATTGGATGGAATTACATCTTGATAAAAATTATCTAACAAAGTTTATAGATGACTGGAATTTATACTCCAGAAATCCAAAAATCAATAATTTTGATTTTTTATTAAGCCCTTTAATAAAAGAGATAGTCTTCTAAATTAAAAAGTTAATAAAGGAATCAGCTAACTTTTCCTGTTATAGAGATGAGAATCAAGTTTATATGAAAAAAGTTCATGTCTATCTTTAAAATATCATATTTTATTTTGCTCTGTAATAAAGAACCAATAATAAAATGAAAAAAAAAAATCAATTCTCAAGAAACTCATTCTTATCTGAACAGGGAAAGATGAATATTTGGAACCAAGTCAGTAGGAGCCCAGAAAATTTGAAATAAAATGCCATATTTGTTTTAATGAAGTATAATAGAATCACAATTTGAATGGTTTATAAAAAATAAAGACATAGGCTCACTAAGTTTTAGTGACACAGGATAATGGAGCTAATTATGTAGTCATTTTCTGTACATCTCCCTTGATACCAAGACTACTTTATATTTTAGGGATTTTAAAATTTCACTCTTGTCAAACACCAAAATTTTCTAAGATCTACTAGTTCCTCTATTTCTATTGTAGGCTGGAAGAAAATGAAAAACAAACAAACAAACAAAAAACACAAAATATTATGTGAAGTGACCATAGTATGTAACACATTGATATTTAAGAGGCAGGACTTGGAGAGAACAAAAAATTTAAATCACTGTTTTTCAGAAATAGAGAAAAAGACTATATACATTCTGTTTTAATGGAAAGCCAAAATTTGCAAGATAATAAAAACCAAGTGTGAACTACCATATTCTTGATTTAAGAAGTTGATAAAGGAGCCAAAAAATAAAAATAAAAATAAAAACCTGGATACATACCATTATGTCAAATTTAATTTTTAAAAATTGTTAAAAGTATTTTTTGAGTTAGGTTAGAAACTACATTAAAGTCATGTTTTCATACACACATACACACTTACTTTTCATATACATACACTTCTATTTATGACAGTGTTGGTAAACTAAATTCAAATAACTGCAAAATAATCCTAACATTCATGTTCACTTTATTTAACTAGAGACTTTACGTTGCCCAATGAATTTGCTTAATGAATCAAACAATTGTGAGTGGTCCAGGACCAGTATGTAGTTATTTATTTTCTTAGAAATTGCTAAAATTTGAGGGAGATAGGAGGCAACATAAATACGCTTTTAAATATAAAAGAATGTAGTTTGAAATCAAACTCATGTAATACTACATACCCTCCTCACTGGATGCAAAGTTGGAAAGTATCCTTGTCTGACACAGCATTCATTAACTCTACATACTCATGGGGACCTCCCCTGTACCACACACTGCCAGGTACTAGGCACAGAGCAAACAACAAAAGAGTTCATGTTCCTCATACCTCAAAATAATAAGAACCATTTATGACAAACCCAGAGCCAAAATCACACTGAATAGGTAAATGCTGGAAGCATGCTATCACCACTCCTCTCACCACTCCTACTCCACACAGAATTGGAATTTCTGGTCAGGACAATCAGGCAAGAGAAAGAAATAAAGTGCATTCAAATAGGAGGAGAGAAATTAAAAAATGTCTCTTTTTGTAGATGACACATTCCCATATCTAGAAAACTCAGTCTTATCAGCTCAAAACCTTCTTAAGCCGATAAGCAACTTCAGGAAAATCTTAGGATAACAAATCAATATGCAAAAATCACAAGATTTCCTATACACCAAAAATAGACAACCAGAGAGACAAATCATGAATGAACTCCCATTCACAGTTGCTGCAAAGACAGTAAAATACTTACTTACTTAGAAACACAGCTAACAAGGGAGGTGAAGGACCTGTTCAAGGAGAACTACAAACCACTGCTCAAGGGAACCAGAGAAAACTCAAGATGAAAAAAACCTACCACGCTCATGGATAGAAAGAATATTGTGAAAACGGCCATACTGCCCGAAGTAATTTATAAATTCAATGCTATTCCCATTAAACTACCATTGACATCCTTCACCAAATTAGAAAAAATTTAAAAAAAAACACACACTTTAAAATTCATATGGGCTGGGCGCCCACCTATAGTCTCAGAAGTTTGAGAGACTGAGGAGGGTTGATCACTTGAGATCTGGAGTTCAAGACCAGCCTGGCCAACATGGTGAAACCCTATCTCTACTAAAAATACAGAAATTAGCTGGGCATAGTGGCGGGTGCCTGTAATCCCAGCTACGTGGGAGGTTGAGGCAGAAGAATTGCTTGAACCTGGGAGCAGAGGCTGCAGTGAACCAGGATAGCATCACTGAACTCCAGCTTGGGCGACAGAGCAAGATTCTGTCCCCTCCCCACCAAAAAAAAAATTAATGTGGAGTCAAAACAGAGCCTGTATAGCTAAGATAATCCTAAGCAAAAAGAACAAAGCCGGAGGCATTGCATTACCTGACTTCAAACTATACTACAAGGCTATAGTAACCAAAACACCATGGTACTGGTACAGACGCATAGACCCATGGAACAGAATAGAGAACTCAGAAATAAGACTGCACATTTACAACCATCTGATTTTCAGCAAACCTGACAAAAGCAATGAGGAAAGGAGTCCGTATTTAATAAATGGTGCTAGAAGAACTGGCTAGCCATATGCAGAAAATTGAAACTGGATCCCTTCCTTACACCTTATACAAAAATTAACTCAAGATAGATTTAAGACTTAAATGTAAAACCCAAATCTATAAAATTCCTAGAAGAAAATCTCAGAAATATCATTCAGGACATAGGCAAAGGCAAAAATTTCATGATGAAGATGACAAAAGCAATTGTACAAGAAAAAATTGTCAAATGGGATCTAATTGAACTAAAGTGCTTCTGCACAGCAAAATAAACTATGAGAGTCAACAGACAACCTACAGAATTGTAGAAAATTTTTGCAATTCACCCATCTGATAAAAGTCTGAATTCAGAATCTACAAGGAACTTAAATAAATTTACATGAAAAAAAACCCAGTAAAAAGTGGACAAAGGACATGAACAGACACTTTTCAAAAGAAGATATGCCTCTGGCCAACAAACATATGATAAAAAGCTTAGCATCACTGATTATTAGAGAAATAATCTAATAGTACTTCATAATATTAGATAGTACAACAATAGTACTTCATACTATGTGGCCCAGCAATCCCATTGCTGGGTATATACCCAAAAGAATATAAATAATTCTACTGTAAAGATACACACATGCATATGTTCATTGCAGCACTGTTCACAAGAGCAGAGACAGGAATCAACCCAAATGCCCACCAATGATAGACTGCATAAAGAAAATGTGGTACATATACATCATGGAGTACTATGCAGCCATGAAAAGGAATGAGATCATGTCCTTTGCAGGGACATGGATGGAGCTTGAAGCCATTATCCTCAGCTAAATAGTTAATGCTCCTGCTCTCATGGAACACATTATTCATCTGCTACACACTTGACTGAAACAACATGTTTTTATTATGTCTTATATGGTGCCCAATAAAAACAATAATCAGTGTGTCATTTGAAGGCACACATTATTTGAATCACTCCTTAAATCAAAATCATACAATGGCTCAATATTGGCTAAAAAGTTATGTTGAAGCCCTTTAGCATTTAAAGTTTTCTCTTCTCACATATTATGTCACCCAACCCGTGCCCTTCTACATGTGTCTTGATTCCTGACATCAGCAGAGCATCCATATGCTCTACACTGGATCCCTGGCTCAGAGGACTATATTATTTCATATATCTGGCATTTTTAAGTTAGTTATTACTATATATATATATATAAAAATATATATATAATGTGTGTGTATATATATGTGTGTATATATATGTTATTTTAAAAGGGAGTTTCGCTCTTGTCGCTCAGGTGGGAGTGTAATGGTGGGATCTCGCCTCACTGGGTTCAGGCAATTCTTATGCCTCAGCCTCCCAAGTAGCTGGGATTACAGGTACACATCACCATGCCTGGCTTGTTTTTTGTATTTTTAGTAGAAACGGGTTTGCCATGTTGGGCAGCCTGGTCTCAAACTCCTGAACTCAGGTGATCCGCCCGCCTTGGCCTCCCAAAGTGCTGGGATTACAGGTGTGAGGCACCATGCCCAGCCAATCTTTTGATTTTCTATTGATAAAGCCAAGGTTTGAAGGTAATAAATTCATTTCTGAGGTCTCACAGCTAATACATATTCCCTTGAGATTCAAAAGTGTATGTGACTCCAATGAAGGGTCTTTAAAATATTTCCTCATGATGGATTACCTCTCTATCCCTCAAGTACGTATTCAAACATCACTTTTCACATAGTTTTTCATTATTGGAGATTATCTTTCTCACCTCTGAACTCTGATATTATAAAATATGACAATGATACAATTCTCACCTTTTGCAAAAAGTACAATTACTTCGCATATGCCTCATTTTTTTTTTCTTTCTCGAATGTAAACTTTGTAAGAAAAAGGGTTGTGTTATGTGCATCACTAAGTTACCCATAAGAGTTGTTGAGAAGAATGGGTAATACATGGAAAGTGTCAGATACGTGCATCTGTCACTAGGCCCAGTGTTGGAGACACTGTGGTGCCTATGCAGATCACCTTTACTAAAGAGGAGTACCCAATTCCTCACTGGTGCTTCTGCAGTGAGGACTCACACATACCCTCCTTCTCCAGATCATTGTGCTTAACTGATTGAAGCAGCTTTGCTTGGAATATCACAGCCCCAAGGCCAATTAATGATTGATGGGGCATATCAAAAGCAGATCCCCTTGCCTGTCATAAATTTATGCTCCAAAGCATAACTATAGGGACTCAAACCAAGACTAGACTCGACCTGAAACACAGTTTACTGGGGTCCTTCCTCTGCTCTCCCTCTGTCTTTTACAGCTTTCTTCTGTATACCACTTCCTTCATAAATGACTTTTACAAGAATCCTCATTTTAGGCACTTTCCTAAATACTATCCTACAGGTAATTTCACAAACTGCTGCCAGTGTCATTTTTTTTTTTAAATAAAAACATGTTACATATACTATCAATATGATTATGTAAAATGTTAACACCAAAGAAGTATTTTAAAAATAAAAACCGTGTTTGAGATTATGCCACTTAACTTGCCAATACCTTCAAATAGCTCTCTTCAAAGCTAGAATAGAATTCAGTTTTGCATTTGAGTCAACTTGCCATCCTCGTATCTTCCATTCTCCTGAATTGTTTATATGCTTCTAGGTATGCTAACCTTCTTGCTGTTTTCATGCTGAGCTAATTCCTTACTCAGAACTTACTATTCTATTTTCTTAAAAAACTCTCTCCTCACATATTCACATCACTTGCTGCCTCTCTTTATTTAGGTCTCTCTTTCAATATCACCCTTCTAGAGATGACTTCTCTGATCATCATAACTAAAATAGTACCTCCATTGACAGCCCATCTCTTACTATGCTTTTCTGTATAGCATGTATAACAATGTGACAGTATATATAAATACATATTCTATCCTCTATAGGAAGATAGACTTCATGAGGGTTAGAACTTGCTTCATATTGTTTCTTCAGCATTTGGAACAATTTCTGGCACATGGTAGATATTCAATGGGCATTTGTTAATGAGCATGGGATGAAAACAAATTTATGTACGTAGACTAAATTTCAAATATTGCTTCTCCCCGTAAAGATGAAAAACAATCGAAATGAATGGAAAGGTATAAAACACATTAAAAATGAATAGGAATATAAGCACTAAATATAAATAAACTACAGACGACATTGTAATGCCTAATTTTTAAACATGTAGTATAAACAATGCATTATGTCCTTTCTGTGGAGGTGTAGTCGGTGGAGGGTAGGTGGCACAGAGCCCCTGAGGCTCCCATAATCTGAAAATGTTTTATTGAAGAAGTACTAAAGTTAGAGGTACAAAATGGGAAAGATACAACTAGGTAGACAAAGGTTGACATTCTAGATAAGGAAGCTGGGAGAAAAATGACATGAGAGAAAGACCACGGAGACAGTCAAGATCTGAACTCCTGGGCAGTCCTGAGAACACAGATGGTTTGGAGTAATAGCTTAGATGGCAAGTGGGCCAGGGAGATTAAAGTCATATTGAAAAGAGCTCTGAATGAAAAGGCAAAAAAAAAATCATCAAACCTGTCTTTTACATAAAGTATATTTAGCCAGCTATTTGTTCATTTCATCTCTCATCCTCTAGGAATATTTCCCAATATCCCAACTTAATTAACATATATCTGTAAAAATACCCTAATGTAAATGTATTGCTATAAACTGTCAAAATTTCATGCCTGTGAAATCTGACTAATAGCCTTACAACTTAGACAAGTTTCAAATCATATTCCTGTAATATAACTGACAGTATAAGTACCTGATTTTCAAGTTGAGAAAATAGGACATGAAATGTAAATAACTTCATAAAATCATACTATAAATGGTTTTATCCACTTGTAAATATACTTATATTGCCAACAACACTAGAAATAACTGTTAACAGTAATATACTTGTCATTCTGCTTCATATTTTAGCGTGTGTCTGAAATCATACCTGTGGGTCTCTGTAAGTTCTTTTGTACTAAAATCCTTCTCAGTGTACCATCCATGGCTGCTTCTTCTATGTGGGAGTGATCTCCAACCACAGTCCAGTACATCATCCTGAAGAGAGTGGGTCAAAGAGGTTAGCCTGGTGATGGTGCTGCTGTAACCCAACTCTGCTCCACAAAGCAGTGACTTCAGACCACATGCCTCAGAGTCACCTCAGAGTCTCTTAAAAAGTAGATTCCCGGGTACAACTCAAAACACACAGAATGAGAGCCTCCAATAAATGGCCTGGGAATCAACATTTTAACGAAAGTCTTGCCTACACACATTAAAATTTGAGAATCATTGTATACTATGATGTACCATAGCTCATTATTTAATATCCAAAATTCAATTTTGAAACTTTCATTAAAACTCAGAGAAAAAATATTTCCACCACATGAAACTTCCCTTTTGTTTTGACACAATAGTCATTTTATTATGGATGCTGTATGAACATGCTATTCTTTTTAATAGAGAAGTAACTATTTTCCCAAACAGAAATTATTCTTTAATTTGGATGACTGCTTAATTCTAATAGTTAGGTATAAGTTGTCTTATTACTCAGGAGTTATCAATCTACTTTATGGATGATTAAGAGTTTTAGTTAACATTTTTCTATTTACTTTTTGGCCATTGCTTGTAGGTTTACATCTCTAACTAAAAGAAGGAAATGTTTGTAATACAGTCTTTAAATTTGCGTGCGTGTGTGTATGTGTGTATATATACACACACACACATATATATATCCCTTCATCTTTTATTACCATAAGAAAATGTTATACCATAAGAAATGTTTTCTTTATTACCATAAAGAAAAATGTTAGTACTCTGTAGGTAATATGTTTGATATTATGTTTAATATTTTGATAATTCAATTTTAATTTTTTTTTTAATTTTTTTTTTATTTTTTGAGACGGAGTCTCGCTCTGTCACCCAGGCTGGAGTGCAGTGGCGCAATCTCGGCTCACTGCAAGCTCCGCCTCCCGGGTTCACACCATTCTCCTACCTCAGCCTCCCCAGTAGCTGGGACTACAGGCGCCCGCCACTGCGCCCGGCTAATTTTTTTCTATTTTTTAGTAGAGACGGGGTTTCACCATGGTCTTGATCTCCTGATCTTGTGATCCGCCCGCCTCGGCCTCCCAAAGTGCTGGGATTACAGGCGTGAGCCACCGCGCCCGGCCGATAATTCAATTTTAGATCAAAAACAGAGGTTGTATCTATGACACCAAGCTCATTCTTCTGCAATGCACACATATAACCATGCACAGACACACACACAGACACACAGGTACACTGAATGCATAACACAGGAATATTTCAGAAAAAATATATATATATTTTGTATCATCATTTGGTGGGAATAGGACATGCTTTTTTACAGAAGAAATAGTACAAGGATATTTAAAGGCATGTGACACTATTACACATTGAACACTCATTACAGAGACAAAATCTACGGAGCATAATTTCTAAAAAGGATATTCATTATCAAGAAATAGAAATACTAAACCATTAACCTACCCTCTTTTAGGATTTACAGCAATAGCATACGGTTCTCCAGCCATATTTGTTAAGAGTCTGGTGCAGTTGGGGCCATTCAGCTGCCCTACGTTAATAGAGTACCTCAGACTGGTCCAGTGAGTAGTGTAGTAACTGAACCAGTGCATTCTAGAATGATCAGTCCAGTAAATGTTTCCAGCCACCCAGTCAACTGCAATGTCCCTTGGCCTTTTAAATTCAGGACACTACAAGGAAACAAAACAACACACCACGGTATTTTCAAAAGGAAATTAGCGGAGTTTTCTGTATCTTTGCATTGAAGTTATGGGGGAATTATAAGAACATAGTCATGTGTTAATTGCTACATGCAATTAGATGTCAAAAAGATACCTAATGCTATTTTCAATCTTCGTAGATGTATTATCTGCCTGAATTTTAATTGTACAGATCACTGGAGTTTAACCAGATTGCACTTGTTTAATCATTACTCTGCTGAAATATTTCCAGAACCATAGGAGGTTCACCCATGACTTCTGGCAGCCAATATTTTCTTTAGAGTAACCATAATTCTGATATCTAACACCACAGATTAAACAAATCAATGTAAAAAACAATCATAATCTTTCATTCCAGAATTTTTTTTGTTGCTTTTTTTTTTTTGCGACGGGAGTCTCACTCTGTCTCCCAGGCTGGAGTGCAGTGGCGCGATCTCCGCTCACTGCAAGCTCCGCCTTCCGGGTTCACACTATACTCCTGCCTCAGCCTCCCGAGTAGCTGGGACTACAGGCGCCCGCCACCATGCCCGGCTAATTTTTTGTATTTTTTAGTAGAGACGGGGTATCACTGTGGGTTAGCCAGGATGGTCTGGATTTCCTGACCTCGTGATCCACACGCCTAGGCCTCCCAGAGTGCTGGGATTACAGGTGTGAGCCAACGTGCCCGGCCATTCTAGAATTCTTTTGTTCAACATCATGACTGTGAAATGTATCCTTATTTTGTATATGTCAATTTTTAATCTTTTCATTGCTCAGTAGTATTTGTTCAAGTATTTGCTCAAGTGGATTTGTACTGACGATATCCACTTGGCTTGTTTACAGTTTTAGGCCATTACAACTAAAGTTATGGATAGTTTAGCATGTTTTTGTTGATGGTGGTGGTGGATACAAACACTCAATTCATTTGGGTATTTACCAAGGAATAGAATTAATGTTTTCAAGTTTATGCACACTTAGCTTGATAGGATACTGCTAGAAAAAAATTTTCAAAGAGTTTGTAGCAATGTACAATCTTTTCAGCAATGTAAGAAAAACTTAGATGCTCTGCATCCTCACCACACATAATTTTGTTCTACAATTGAAAAAATCATTAGTACAGCTAGACACATTTAGGAAAATACTATATTTTAACATCTTTTGAGGAAAGTCAGAATATCTGTTATTCATCTTACATTTGATAGGTTGGATTGTCCATTCTGTTTTACTGTATTACTGTGAGACAAAGGTAACAGAATTCATTGAGACTAGACAGCAAGGAAAATAACTTATGTTCTGTGCCCTTCAATTAACTTGATCACTTTGAGCAGGAACTAGTGTAGCAATTAATTTGACATGACCAGGTTTATTGTGCATAACCAAAAGTGAGAAGTTATTCCCAGGGGTATTATAGCAAGAGTAGACACAATTATTTGAAAGTGATTACAACTAGATGCGTAATCAATATGTAACAGCATCTTTAAGACCTGGGCAGCAGTGGAAATATGAGTTTTTAACACATGAAAGCTTCTTGTGTGGGCTCAGAGGAACCAGTATTATCAATCAGTGGACTTGGATTAAAAGAAAAGAAACTGACCATCTCGAAAAGAACATGGAATGCCAAGAAACAGGAATTGCAAATCACTGTCTGCTGCATGATTACTGGGATCTCAAACAAGGAAAATATGGCTTACATTAAACACAGAATCCATAGATAATTTCTAATGCCATTTATCATCAGTTCTTTGACCTATTGGATGTTAAAACTGAAATTATGAAATTGTACTACCCTATTTCTCAACTTTAACAATAAATGTTATCCATATACCCAGTGATATCTCAGTTATCTGAATTAAAGGTAAAGCACTCTGCAATACAGTATACTCTAGAAATGTTATATAAATAATGTTCGCAGATGTTTGGAATATAAATGTCCTAGTCAAACCAAAAAATCATTGTCGAATGCTCCAGTATCATTTAAGCTAACTGTATTTTTATTTTCAACTTGTCATCATTTAAAAGTAAATATATCACCAAATGACATGTGCATGTCAGTGCGAATCATAAATCTACAAACATGAAAGACAATGGGAAAAATCACCATTATAAGCTATTTTAAACCTGTTGAAGCATATGTGTAATTTTCCAACACTAGTAAAACAAACCTTTATGATACAAAACTTATAATGCTCTTTGTCTGAGTGAACATAGAAAAAGTATCTATTTTCCATTTGTGAGATGTAAACGTATACACCTGATTTTCAATCCTCATGGTATCCCTGATAAAATATGTCACATTCCATGCAAGTTCCACTTTTGTTGAATTTAGGATTTTCATTTCATTAAATTCATTCTCAAAAAATTCTGATTATCCTTCAACTTTAGACTTCTAACCCTAGACTGATGACAGTTAATAATCCAGTTTCCTAATGTTCGTAGAGCATTCAGAAGTTTGATTTGGTGATACTTTTTCAGGTAAACAGGCTGGTGAAGATTTTACTAAGGGTGAATTATAGAAGGATAAATTTAGGTCACATTTCTAGGGTAAAGAACATAGATTAGAAATAGAAAAAAAAACCTTACTTTTCATGATAAGTACAAGATATATTGATGACTTGCAGAGCCATTTAATATATACATTTATTCTCCTTCTTCTGGAATAAGGAATCTCTAATGTCATTCAAGTAACAACTAAAGTAGTTAGAATATGGGGTAAAAAATAGGCACATGCAATTAATTCAACCTAAGGTTATGATATCATAAATGACAAGATGATTCTCAGAGAATAATGGCAGAGGGTGAAGATGTTACCAGGTGTTCATCCTCAGTGACTCAGAGTAAACTAAATACTTATTTTCAACAATGAAGAGAGAATAACAAAACAAAACAAAAGACAATCAGGAGGAAGAGGGAAGAAAGGAGCGGAGGCGGAAGAAGACAACCTCCCTCAGAAGAAGGTGGCAATATTATTAACCTACTCTCAACCTATGGCCAAATTAGGAAATCACCCTTTGTACTGAGCTTCATAGGAAAGAAATAATCTCTACCATTCACATCTTGACCAGGATTTTGAATAGTATTGACCATATAAAAGGGAGCCTTATATTGAATGGATTTTCACTGGACGATGAAAGGCAGAAACCCCTGTTGGATCTTCATATTATGATCACACAATTTATTTAAGGAGAGGTACTAAAATCAATCAGGTAAACACGAAAAATGGAAAAACACAGGATAAGTACACTGACATTCTGAGAGTGGAAATGAAGATTGACATGGGAAAACAGAACAGGAGAGCTAAGCTCCTTGCCTTCAAAAATCATGAAACAAAACAAACAAGCACACCAGATTGGAGAGAAGAAAATATACAACTTTCATTTGCCCCATTGACTAGCTCACTAGACAGGTACACCCATGAAATAGAGACGCTAATTAAACGTGTCCTGTTTGAGAGACGGCAGGAGCATGCAGCTTCCCTGACAACAAAAGGGTATTTCTCATCTTGTTGAACAGAGTGGAAGACACATTTTGGCTGCTTTCTTCAGACAGATGATTTCTTTTCTAATAAGCTCTCTAAATACACAGCCGGTTTTGAGACCTGAGGCATCCTTTGTAGGAATGCATTAGTCAAATGAATGAAACCCTTACATCTTACAAAAAAAGTGACAGTTTGTAACAAAATTAGAGGTTACTAGTTTAAATTACTAATCCTTTATAGGTGTAGATTGTAAGGTATCTGTCACAATTCCAGCTTCAATAAACTGAAGATGTAAGTCACTGAAGACATTTGTTTTAAAACAGGAAAAGGGAAAAATCTGTGACAGGGGAGTTCAAGCATTTGAGCCATGAAAATACTGCTGTCTGTTTTAATAAATTTCTTACTGTTAGCAATATGCTTTAAGAAAATTTAGTTTACACAAGGATAAACTGAGGTGATATCACATATTTTATTGATTTGTGATGTTTTTCATCTTGGTATATATCTAAGAATAGAAAATTCAACTAATTTTATTAAAGTTACTTATCTCCCAATGGAATTATATTAAAACAAAGATGTAAAACCACCCTCAAGAAATTGTGTGTGGATGCCTCTGTAGGATATTTTGCTAAATGAAAAGACTATTGACATTTTGCTTCTCAAAATATGAATCAGATTCGCTTCCAATGAGTGGATGTAAAATAATAACTACACAAATTCTAAATTTTACTAAATTCTATTGACTTAGTCATGTTATTAAAATATCCAAATATTTCATATGTCAGTCAAGGAGCTCACATAGCAGTGGAGAAATCCTAAGAGAACCAAGAAAAAGTTATATTTAGAGCTAGAATGTGTACGAGATTAAAAAAAAAAAAAAACTATTGCAGAGATGAAAAAACTTTGGCTTCTATTTATGATTTATACTGAACAATAGATTATTCCAATCTGAATAATTTTAAGGTTGCAACGATCTACATTAGGACGATGTCAACTTGTAATAATCTTCTGTTAGATGAAAAAGAAACTTCAGATGTAATTCTCAGACAGTTTTTTAAAAAGACCAAATTTGTCGTTGAATTAAAGACTCAATAATGTATGTGATTTTGTTACTTTTTTTTTTAAGCCTCTGTTACTCTTTTTTTTTAAAGCTTCTTCAGTGTTCTTTAACCTTTTATTCCTGATTCACCTCTGTCCTCCATAAAGAGAAAGACTGGCTCTCTAAACTTTTATTCACACTATCAGAAAAACAAAGATATCACAGAAGATTAGAAAACACACTGAATTTGGAATCAGAAGAACTGATTTAAATCCTAGTCCTAGTTTCTCTCCATATTATAAGGTGTATAAAACAAAGACTTTGGATTACATGATCTTTGAACATCTCTAGCTCCTAAACAGTAAATTATGTAACAGCTCGAAATATTATCCATTCTGGGTAAGTCTGCATTTCGTATAGCCTTAAATGCATATCTACGGTAATCACTCATTTTTAGGCATTAGTGAGTGAATAATT